CTTAAATAATTATATACGTAATTAAGTAAAACTACTGTCCCTAAATCAACTTGAGTACAAATACAAAAGTAGCAGGTTAAAAATCTACTTAAGTACTCAGTACTGCAGTGGAACACCTTAGTACATTCAGCCTTTATCAGCATAAGAACTAAAGACCATGCAACTATGATCTTTGCTTTTTGGAATTTTTTTTTTTTTTTGGTTTAAAATACAAAGCACCAAAACCAGAGATGTAACCAATCACAAAGCAGTACAAAATTACCACCATCAAACATATTGAAATTAAGCACAAAAAAGGGAAATAGTATTTAAATACGAATGGCTAAAATGTAATGGAGTCAAAAGATTCCTTTACTCATTAATATACTTTAGTAGATGTATCATGATTTGAAAATATGCAGGAGAGTAAAAAAGTACATATACTTGAGTAAATGTAACTAGTTACTACCCTTATCTGAATAGGTTGATAAAGCTTTTCTATTGCTTTTCTATTATGCTTTGTCCCACCATTTTTGGAGGTGTGGCACCACCCCTGGTGTTTTGCCAACAGTTGGCAATAACAAAATAACACAAAATCTATTCTCAAATTTTGTTTTTTTACTCACCTTAAAAATGGAATGAGGTAGAAAAGGGGGGAAAGTCACAGGTCGCTATCCCTTATGCATTTTAGGCTTAAAACAAGCCTTGCTGACAACAACTGCAACTCCTGATGAATGTCAGCTATGTATGAATGCTAATTCCACCATAAAACTGGTTTCCAAATCTGGCTTCGATCAGTCTTTGTACAGAAGCTAAGCCTTTAAGTACCACAACAATGTCTACCTCTTTCACACAAACAAACCGTGTTGTCTAATAGCACCAGCTTCATCTTAATCTTTTCCTGATAGCTCCCCTACCAGCTCTCCTCTTCATTACCCTGATCATTTGGTGGCTTAAATGAATGTTTGGCCTGGTGCATGTGTGCCCACTTGATGACTTCTTCATTAGGATTCATAGTTCCATGTGCTCTCACTCTACCTGATGATCATCTGCCTCGTAGCTCTCTGGGACTGATAATAAGGCCAACAAGAACCATTAAACAAACAAAGCCACTAAACAAGAAATGCTAACAAAACCACAATTACAATACCGCTAACGGAGTCGATAAACTAGAATCGCTAACAGAGCCATTAAACTATAACCACTAAAGAAGCCACGGTCAATCACAAAACTGCTCACAGTCACTTTCACAGAAATGCTAACAGACCAACTAGAAGGTCAACAGAGCCAGTATTGTATTACCACTAACAAAGGCGCACAACTAAAAGCACTAACAGGGCTTTATCTAGATCACTAAACATGTCACTAAACTAGAACCACTGACAAAACCTCTGCCTATCACAAAATAGCGAACAGAGTTGACATATCAGAGTCAACAAACTGGAACTGCTAACAAAGTCACTGATCAACCAACAGAGCTACTAAATTAGAACTGCTAACAAGGCCTCTATCAAAGAACCGCTAAAGAGCCGCCACTAAACTATTCATTAACAGAGCCAAAATGACAGAACTTCTAACAAAGTCACTAAAAAATAGTTTACACCATGCACATACAAGAACATGGGGCATGTATAGCAACTTTGATTCAGTTCAATTCAGATGAGCGTTGTTATCATAATACTGGTAACCAATACATCTGCCATTCAAATACCAAGAAGTTTAAGCACTCACAAGCTGGATATAATAAACGAAGAGGTCATTTCACTAATTTATCATTTACAATCTAGACTTTACAGTACACGTATAGTGTGTGTATGTGTATATATATATATATATATATATATGTCTTGGGGCCATTTTATGATAAAGCTATCTAGAACAGCCATGAACAGTCAGAACAGCATAGATTAAACACTCTTTGGAGATATGGCCCTGTAGATTTGAGACAAATGGACTAATTTGCATTTATAAATCACTCCAGCTGGTTTCCTGATATGTTTAATCTGCAGCGAGAAACTGTCAAACAATAAAATGTTGCAAAGCTGAAGTCAGCTTCTCATTCAGCAGCTTCTTCTTTGAAATTTCCCATTCCACCTTAAATGGTGCAGCAGTTACAGTTTGGTGCCTCAAGCGCCTTTTAAGGTGGAATGGGAAAATTCAAACAAGAAGCTTGAGAATGAGAAGCTGACTCAGCCTCTAATGTTGAAACATTTTACAAGAAACTCTTCTGCTTTTCTGGAAACGTTTCCTGCTGGAGATACGAGAAAATTGGCTATAGCTAAAGCTTAAAGCAGAGCAAAGAAAATCTCTTTTTTATTACATTTTTTCGTCCATACTAGGACATTAGCTAGCACGCATCATGACATATTTTCAGCCAAGATGCTAAAATGTTACTTCAAGAAAATGGGCATAAAATGCTGTGGCTCTCAAGGTGGTGTGATTTTTGTTGAAAGGACAAAATGGCTCTTTTTAACATTTGGGTTGCTGACCCCCGGGCTAGAGAATGGCTACCAATGATTAAGCATCAAGAGATGGACTGTAGATGGAATACAATAATTATGCGGAGAAACTCAAAGTTAAAGAAAAAGAACTGGGTGGCGACAAAAGGTTTTGGCCTAAAGTTTCTACGACATGTGGTATATCCCGACAGTTCTAAACAAACAGTTACTAACATAACTGCCGTTTCTTTACATTTGTATGGTCATCAGCAACTATAGATTTATTAGCTGAACAATGCATATATCTGCTAGGATTGACCAGTGCCAGGTAAAGCACACCATTACTAGAATCTGGAGCAGATGTGTTCTCTGGAGTGATTAATCAAGCTTCACTATCTGATGAATCTAGCTTTGGCAGATGCAAAAAGAACACTACCCACTAAAATGCACAAGGCAGGAAGGTTTGGTGGAGGAGGGATATTGATCTGTTTATTAAAGTCATGGACAGTTTCAGCAAAGGGTAAAGTTAAATCTACAGCATACAAAGATGTTTTAGACGATTACATCCTTTTAACTTGTGGCAACAGTTTGGGCAAAACCCTTCTCTGTTCAAGAATAACTGTGCCCTTGTTGCACAATTGAACAAAGGTTTGACGAGCCCTGACCTCAACCCCACTGAACCCCACCCCTTTAAGATGAATTGGAACATCGATCGAGCCAGACCTCCCCCAACTCCCTCACAAATGCTTGATTGACTAAAAGGGCACAAACTCCCACAAAAACACTCCAAAATCTTGTGGAAAACCTTCCCAGAAAAGTAAAGGCTATTGTAACAGCAAAGGGGGGCAACTCCATATCAATGCTCCTGGTTTTGGAATGGTATGCCAACAGGCTCATATAGGTGTGATGTTCAGGTGTCCACATACTTTTGGCCATAAAGTGTATAACTTTCTGGTCATTTCAGTGGAACATCCTTGGTAAATTTAAGAATTAAAAAGTTTAGGAGTTCATGAGGGCCATTCAAACACACCAACTCCCCCACAATTGGGATTCTGTGACACTGCTGCACAAGTTTCCCTTTTCAGTGATGACCAATATGACCAGATATGTCTGTTCTAGAGTGGCACTGACGCATAAATGTAATTGTAGGACACTAGGGGGGCGGGAAAAACTCGATTCTTAGATGCATCGCGATGCGGACGTGAACGATTCTGAACTGATTCACAAATGTCAAAAATCGATTTTCTAAATATTTAATTTCTAACGTAATGTTGACGGAACGCAAAAGGCGGAATTTGGAAGTGGGTAAGTGCAGCGCCCGGACAGTCTGTGGCGGCACATAACAAAAACACAACGGGATGAGTGAGAAATCCGACCGGCTCCCTCTGCATTAAAGCCAGGTTAGATCAGGAGTCACAACACAAATGTTAATAAGAGCCGTTTTGTCCTTTCAACAAAGTTAAACCACCTCGGGAGCCACAACATTTAATGTCCAGTACGTGTTAATGTCGTAGTATGGGCTAAAAATATAAACGAGAGCGCAGATTTACTTCGCTCTACTTTAAGCTTTAGCCGTTTTCCTCCCATCTCCGCCAGAAAACTTTTCTTCAAAACTAGAAGAGTTTCTTGTAAAATGTTTCAGCATCCGGCTGTTTTACGAGGCTGAAGTCGCTTCTCATTCGCCAGCTTCTCGTTCTAATTTTCCCGTTCCACCTTAAATTCTGCCTTAGGCGCCGAATGTAACTGCTGCACCATTTAAGGTGGAACGGGAAAATTCGAAAGAGAAGCGAGTTCATTTTCGCAACTTTTTTTAACTCTCGTTGCAGATTTAACCAACCGCGCTGCTTATAAATACGAATAAGTCCTCCAAATGTTCGTCTTAATCTCTGTTTTTTCGTTCGACCTCGGTGCTGTGTGACCTGCTGTCTGTTCTCGGTCGTTGAGAACCAGGGCTTTCGCGCTATGCTGCACACTTTGGAGCCGAGATTCAGCGTCCAGTCTCGAAAATACCCGCCCCCCACTCGACCCCCCACTCTCTACAACGAGACCAAAACCGAAGTTATAAGATCACTAAAGAAAACGGGAAGGATGGCTGTAACGTGCTGCGTGGACACCCATCACCACTGGATCTTATTTCAGGGTAACAGCGCATTTTATCGCAGATGAGTGGCAGCAGCGTCTCTGAATGAGAGCCTTCTAGTTCACTTGCCACATCACTTCCATTTGATTTATTAATAAAAGATATTTTAGATATTTAAAGCAAAGTATTTGTAATGATCCATAATGCATTTACATTATGGATCATTACAAATACTTTGCTTTAAAACTACCAAGTTTTTAGACAGTAGGAAGATAGAAATCCTGTATAGAGAAAAAAGATGCATCGAGATGCATCGATAATCGTTTTATAATCGCATCGCAGCCTCTGAATCGTAATCGAATCGTGAGGTGCCTAGAGATTCCCACCCCTATAGGACACTAACAGTCTGAGGGGGATTTAGTATCACCAGGGCAAGTAAATAATGGCAGTACACAGCTGAAACAATTAAAAACAAAGTAGTAGTAGGGTGATCTGTAACCCACCTGAAAAAACGCTGGGGATCTTGGACAAGAAACTCTTGACCGTGCGGATGGGGATGCCATTCTTCTCTTCCTGCATTCGAGCGATGATGTCCTCCATCTGCAGAAGAGGAGGAGAGAAGGAGGGAAGAGGAGAGGAGAAGAGAAGAGAAGGAAGAACACCAGAGAACTGAGTGTTTTACAGCCTCACGTCATTAACAATCAAGATAATTACACCCTCCTTAATTAAGCTCCTTTTCTATGTAATCATGGGATAACTTCTCTCTGTAATTATATGTACTCATTCAGTACTCTCATTTGCTTTGCATGGCAGGAATTACACATCCTACTCATCACTGAATATTGTGCAAGAGGGAGAATGAGCCGGAAATTTTTACATAAATTTCTTTGCTACACTCTGAAGTCTGTATGGGAGCTAAATGTGTTGGAAAAAAAGTTGCATTCAGCTTGTGCAGGTGCAGCTGTTTCGAGGGCCTGAGGCCTCTCTGTTAAAAGGCTGGGGTCTGGAATTTGGAACATAGATATTTTGGCCCTACATTAAGGATGTGCACAGGTACTTGAGTGTTTTAATAGAGAAGAGAAAATTACATTTCTAATATATATAAAAATAACACACACACACACACACACACACCCCGATCAGGCATAACATTATGACAAATGTATGGGCATACATTTTTCAAAAAACAATAACATTTCTTAGTTGTCATGTTATCTTTGTACTATTTTCAAATAAATATATAACATCATATAACACACATATATTCTATTAGGTATAACATTATGACCACCTCCCTGTTTCACCGCTCATTGTCCATTTTATCAGCTCCACTTACTATATAGGTGCACTCTGTAGTTCTACAGTTACAGACTGTAGTCCATCTGTTTCTCTGCATACTTTGTTAGCCCCCTTTTACCCTGTTCTTCAGTGGTCAGGACTCCATGGACCCTCACAGAGCAGGTATTATTCACTATTTTTAGTGGTGGATCATTCTCAGCACTGCAGTAACACTGCTGTGGTGGTGGTGTGTTAGTGTGTGTTGTGCTGGTCTGAGTGGAGTTTTTGACATAATTTGAAAATGTCTGTTGCCCTTTACATTGTGTGTAAATTTCATTAAGAATGGACCAAAAGAAATGGATCAAAATGACTTGGCAAAAAGTCTGGTTCCATTGACTTACATTTAAAGTAAAGTTTTTTAAAAGGAAAAGTTTTTTACTTCTCCTGTAAAGTTACCAATTTGGAGATACAAGGTTTTCTTCCGACAACAGTTATTATATATAATATATACATACATACATACATACATCATCTAAACCGCTTATCCTTCTGGGTCGCGGTGGGGTGCTGGAGCCTATCCCAGCTGTCATTGGGCGGAAGGCAGGATACTCATAAATTAATATCATAAATAATAAATCAGTCGGTCCAGATTTTTGCTTCAAACAAACTCACAATGGTGTATAGCACATGAGCAATTGATTAAACAAGCGGAATCGGGTGAGCTCCTGCTCATTTGGAATGAAAACTTGCAGCCACACTGGCCCTTTGCGGATAACACTGGACACCCCTGGTGTATAGGAAAAGATCTCCCAAGTGTTTAATGCCTCTAAAAGCCCTGAAAGTTGCAAAAATGGTGCCTAATGACATTGTTTTATGATGCTGTTGAGATCAGATTTAGGCTTAAACCTATTTATGGTGGAGAGTTAGATACAAAATGTTATAAAACAAAATAGTGCCTATCAAAAACATATTTTCAGCCTTTACCACAATCAACTTTACATACTAAACTCAAGACATGTGTGGGTTCACTGGTGGTTTGAAATAGTAAATAATATGGCTATGTTTGCATTGTAGACATGGCAACTTCGGCATCACCACCACTGGAACGAAAATCTGAGTCACTAAGTTTTTCTACAATGAACCATTTCACATCAAACCACTCTAAATGACTGGTATTGGCACTCTTCAAAACTTGTTTGTAAGTCAGAAACCTGAGCCTGACCAATGATTACAATTGTTATTGTTGTCACTGTTGCTGTTATGTGGACTTGAATCAGGGCTCCATTAAGAACAAACGCCTGCAGTGGCTCTGGAATCAGCTGGGAATGGTAACCAGCGAAAAGGCCTGTCCTATTGTTCTTCGCCATCACCGTCATCTTCTGCCTCACAGTAAGTGCTGACCCCATTACACACAGACATGGCTCATCTGCCCACACGTCCAACTCTGACTGACACACACACACACACACACACACACTCTCACTCTCATGCTGTCACTCATTTTCTCGTGCTCTTACTGACAGCGCTCCCTCTCCCTCTCTCTTGCTCTCCATGCTTATCTCTCCTCCCGCTGATTCCCCTCACTGTTTCTCTTTCTACCAATCTCACCATCACGCTGCTTCTTCTACACACTCACTCATGTTCAGATGAAAAAACTCCCTATTTTCGCCCACCGGTGCAGCCTGGACTGTCCTGTAATGTGCAAGACTCATGACTCAACTCAGTAGCCAGACTGAAGCTGTAGTGCAGAATAAAATGAAAAACTCATATTTTAGGAAATAAACAAAATACTTTTAAACAGACCCTCAGACTTTCCCTACACACTTGACAATAGGAATCCCTGCCACTAATCTGAAGGGCATTTCAGTTCTCGGATAGGTCGAGAAAGGTTTCTACCAGCAAACACTCAATTTGAATCAAGGAAGGGAATCTATAAAATTGTAAACTTCAGGTAGTACCATATATTCTTATATTTTATATCAACTGATGTGCCAGATGTGCATATGAGCACAGCTGCTGCTGCTGGACCGAGAATAGTCCACCAACCAAAAATACCCTGCCAGTAACGTCCTGTGGGCAGCGTCCTGTGACCACTGATGAAGAACTAGAGAATGACCAACACAAACTGTGCAGCAGCAGTTGAGCTACTGTCTCTGACTACATCTACAATGAGGTAGTCTACCTAATAGAGTGGACAGTGAGTGGACACAGTGTTTAAAAACTCCAGCAACATTGCTGTGTCTGATCCACTCATACCAGTACAACACACACACTAACACACCACCACCACATCCCAGTGCTGAGAATGATCCACCACCCAAATAGTACCTGCTCTGTGAGGGTCCATGGGGGTCCTGACCACTGAAGAACAGGGTAAAAGGGGGCTAACAAAGTATGCAGAGAAACAGATGGACTACAGTCTGTAACTGTAGAACTAGAAAGTGCACCTATATAGTAAGTGGAGCTGATAAAATGAGTGTTGTTACAAGGATGTGTTCCTAAAAGTGCTCAGTGAGCGTATATTGCGACAGCATCACAGCACATATAGTGTGCTGCATCTTCCCATGTACTTGCAGCAGATCCTGGGAGTTTAATTAGTGTGGTAAATGTTCTTTCAGCATATGTTCAAGGCTTGTGACTCGAATATGATTCAATAAATTGGGTCCACTGTCTATAAACTTCAGGCGATGGACTTTATGGACTTGATTACAGTAAAGATAATGGCCATGTGTGACCATTGCCCCATGCATGCAGGCAGTAAACCGCAATCTCTACAAGCTAAAGCAAACACTAGCTAATGCTAGCCTAGCCTGCTCTGATAGCAGAGAGGTTTGCTAGCTGGCTAAGGGTCATTTGCCTGCTGTCAAGTTCAGTTAGCTACCGAGCGCACAAATGGACTGAATCAATCTGTCCCGAGTATGCTTGCAAGCATTTGAAGGACTTATTTTGTTCCATTTTTAACATGGAATTTGGGGCTAGAACTGGCCTCAATCTTTTCTGCATAACATCTTTTGTTCTTTCTGCTTCCCTGCAAATTAGCATAAACTCCCCCTCTCTTAGGACTGACTAAAACCTTGAGTAGGAGCTACACCTCCTCCTACAACAGGATCCAAAAAGTCCCATTTTAATTGCATAAGATGTTTGGAGTGCAGACAGCCTCGAGCCCCCTTACGTGGCTTCCAAACATACAGGTGTGAGCTTTTGATAGGCTGCCATCCCACCTTGCGGCAGCGTTTGATTGGCTCGACTGACCCGACACACTCAAGCCTCTTCGCATAAGCCGATTTTGCGTCCCGCCACGATTAGCCACTTCTTATTCTCCCGTTAGCTGCTTACGGACTTAAAGTCAGATGCTTTACGTGCACACAAACACACACACACATGCTGCCGCTGGTGACCTGTGATTATTCTCTATGCTGGCTGCACACTACATAGTAAACAAACAGACAAAAACAAATCACTGAGGTCCAACAGGCCTATGTTCCACAAGATTTGATTTGAGTTGAAGCTGAAACACAGAAATGCTGCAGCTACAAATACACAGCTCTTCGGTTCTCATCTTATTTAGGGGTTAAATACTTGGGACAAAAGCACTGCCTTCTCAGAGACTGGACACAAGACAAATAGGTCCGACCAAAGCACCCTTTGAAAGATTAACTTTTTTCGCCCTATAATCGCCACAGGGTCACTGAACAAGATTACTCTCTTTTAAGTGTGTTGTGCTGGGGAAATGGGGTTTGGGAGCCATGCTGGAGCAGCCTGGGAGCAAACCAGGGCTAAGTGGCTTCAGCATGACACTCCAACCTTAATAAGCTCAGATACTAGAGAAATAGTAAAGCTGAAGTCTGGTGTGATCTCTCTCTCCCAGCTGCCTCACGCTCTCCATTCTCGGTCTACGCTGCAAGGAAAACCAGCATAGACCAGTATGCATGGTCACCAGCAAAACCAGCACCATGTTGTGTTTTGGATGCTGGTATGACCATGTTGGGTGACCAGCTAAACCAGTGTCAGACCACCATGGAATGCATGCTAATCTGTGGTGTTGTTTCATCAGGCTATGCTGTTCAGATTATGTCTAATCACAGCACTACTGGTTTGTCATTGTCCTTGTTAAAGCAGCACTCCAAAATTAAAAACTGAACCAGTGCCTCATTACATTAAATTTACATCTGTTTTAGAAATGTATACTTGCAAGCGGGTCCTCCATCATTTCAAGAAGGGTTCCTGAGATGGACAAAGTAGCTGCATATGAAAAACTATCATTTAAACTGTTCAGGTGTTTAGAAGTGCACATTTATAGAGAGTTCTTAAAGATGAGTACC